GGAAATCGTCCTCTTTTGGAAGGCCAAACAAAGTAGTTTCGCTTTCACAACGAAACACACAGCACCTTCACGACATGGCGGCAACAACAATACTACAGCGAGAATAAAAGTTACGCCGCCTTTCTTGCGTGAACATTTGGGCGGTGTTATGCAAATCTTCCCACATCGTGATGTAGACATGTGGGGGTGTGTTAGAACGAGCCGTTTTAGGTAGGTGTGGTTGACTCTTAACTTTTATAAAGAATGTCTTTGGATTTGAGACTTCAGTCTTTGCAACTTTACAGATCTTCTGTATGCAGCAAGAGCTTGTAACACTTCAAAGAGAAAGGAAAAATTTAAATCGCATCATATGACCCCTTTAACGCCTCTTTATTAAATACAAAAATCTTGTCATAGATGACCTCTCTCAAGACCTAGACTTATGCACAGTTTTCAGACAGGACATGTTTGAGGGGTCAAAGTTTGTCTGGTTAGCATGGCCCATTTAGAAGAAGAAATTATTTTATTTTCAAGGAGCATACGTTACAAGGACTTGGAACTGCGTGTTCTTGTGTAATTAGTCAAATTTAGTGCCCAGAGCTGCCTGTGAGCAAAGATAGCACATTTCAAATAATACTTTCAGGTGTCAACTGTTTTAAATCTGCAATATTAATCATTTTCTTACTATCTACAAAAATAATCCTAACAGGGTCCGTGTTAGAGCATGTTTATGGTTGTACTGTCATCAGCCCGTCATAATGTATGTCGTCCTTGTATCTTGATATCCACCATTGTGTAACGCTTGCTTGAAATGGGTGATGTGTCAGAGAATTGCATATTTATGACATTTTGAAGGAACAGGGCACATTTAGCCCAAGTGTGAAGGTGCTAACACGGGTAGAAAGGCCGTTGAAGCCATCATAGACTCTGACAGGTCATTACCACTCTCACCTAGGGAGTCATCGCTTCATCACCGCCTCCACTGAAAGCCAGTCTGGCCAGAACAGAATTTTGGGTTAATTTCCAATGTTTAGATTGTGTCAGTGCAGTGTGAAATTTGTGAATATGAAAAAATAAATAGGTGTTTATTTATTTATTTAATCATTAATTTAGTTATTGTTCATTTTTTGTACACTTACCTTTCAAGCTTTAAAATAGGATGCGTAAGTAAATAAATACATAAAAAGTAGTTAAATGTAGCAAAAGCTATTTTGATAGCCTTTTTTTCTGAATTACACTCACTTTTTGGGTGAACTATTCCTTAATTACAGTCACAATTTCATATGTACAGTGGGTATAGAAAAGAATCACCCCCCTTTAAAATAATCATAATTTGTTGCTTTGCAGCCTGAAATGAAGATGGACACAGTTTTTGTTTCATCCAACTGTATTTACTCAGTGCAACTTATAACATTCAAGTGAAAGATATAACACCAACATGTCAGGAAAACAAACAAACAGAATCACTGAGTTAGAAAAAGGATCATCCCCTCCTAAAAATGCCTTGTAAACTCAATCAGTTGCAGCTAATCACCTTCTCAATGGCACACAAAGCCAATTGACTTTCAACTGTGATTAGCTGTGATCATTTTGATTAGCTCAGCATGAAAGAGCTTTCCTGGAGCATTTCAGTCCTTGGTAGTGCAACTGAAGCAAACAGTCAACTATGGGTGGCAAGGCACTGTCAAAAGATCTCTGGGATAAAGTTGTGGACAGGCACAAGTCAGGATAGGAGATGCCTAAAACAAAATTCTAAGGATTTATCAATGCTTGGAAGCACAGTGAAGTCTATTAATTAAGTGAAAGGTATTGCAACACAGACCCTCCCTGGATCAGGACGTCACTCCAAACTGGTTGAAAGAGCTAGGGAGGAAACTGCTCAGAGAGGCGACCAAGAGGCCTACAGCAACTCTGAAGCAGTTGCAGGAATTTATGACAAAGAGTGGTCATTGTGTGCATGTGACAACAATATCACAAATTCTCCACAAATTTGGGTTTGTGTGGGAGGGTTGCAAGAAAAAAGCCACTTCTCAATTTAATTATTTGGCCTCAACACCAAACGATATGTCTGTCGGAAATCCACTATAGCTCACCATCCAAATAACAGCATTCCTACAGTAAAGCATGGAGGTGGTAATATCCTGTTATGAGGGTGTTTCTCTGCAGCAGGGACTGGAGCACTTTTCAGGATAGAAGGAAAAATGGATGAGGAAAAATACCATCAAATTCTTGAGGACAATCTGCTGCTCCTGCCAGAAAGTTGTCAGTGGGAAGAAGATTTACCTTCCAACATGACAATGACCCAAAGCACACAGCAAAACTGACCACACAGTGGTTGAAGGAGAAAAAGGTGAATGTCCCTGCATGGCCTAGTCAGAGCCCAGACTTAAACCCCATTGAAAATCCGTGGAATGACTTGAAGACTGCAGTCCACAAACGCTCACCATCAAATTGAACTGAACCTGAGCAGTTCTGCAAAGAGTGGGCAAATATTGCAAAGTCTAGATGTGCAAAGTTAGTAGAGACAAATCCCAACAGACTAAAGGCTGTAATTAAAGCAAAAGGAGGTTCAACAAAATACTGACTCAAGGGGGTGATTCTTTTCCCAACTCTGCTTTTTATTTTTTATTTTTTTTCTGACATGTTGGGTGTTATATCTTTCACTTGGATGTTATAAGTTGCACTGAGTAAACACAGCTGGATAAAACAAAAAACTGTGTCCGTCTTCATTTCAGGCTGCAAAGCAACCAAATGTGACTATTTTAAAAGGAGGCGATTCTTTTCTATACCCACTGTTAATTTCATTTACTGATTTGATAGTTTTTAACCTCAGTCAAATGGTTTTTATTCTTTTTATTTTATTATTTGTTGTGTAAATAAATAGACAAAATAATCAGATGAGTCTTCTTCCTCCAGTTGTCAACTTCTCTCCACAGATGGCCATTAGCCTCTTGAGCAGCTGCTCCCTCTGCTCTACAGAGACCAACTCCCCACATCTCCCTTACACCTCCAAACCTGAGCTCTCCCTCACACACCTGACAGTATGACAATAGCTCCTTTATAATAAACCACTCATTTGAGGCATTCACAGGCTGAAATCAGGCTCTGGGGTTCCCAGAGAGGCTTTCGCCATACCCATAAGCAGTGGCAACTCATGGGTTTTAAAATAGAGGAGGCACACTAATTGTATTGGTCTGGGATCCCTGCCGATTATTATTATTATTATTTGCTTAACCACTTTAAAATGGCTTTTTGGTTGCTTTTAGTCAGAAAACGTAAAGAAAATGACATACATACAGCAAGATAATATAATTTCACTTACCTGGCCTATCACTTGAAGCAAACATCCATCCCTTCTTAAAAGTCTGTGTTAAGAGAGATGCCTGTTGCGCCAAGGCTAGCCTCCCTTACAAGGTTTCTTTTCTCAACACTCCTCAGCACTGAAAGTGAACACTCGATGCACGGCGCTTTCACGTTGTGGTATTACAACTGTGAAATTACAAACAAAAAATACACCTTCTGAGAAATTAACTGAAATTAATTGTGAATTGTATTAACATTAAATCGTCGTCCTCCCATTTTCACCTCAAAATTATGGGGAAGCTGTGCCTCCCCCAACGAGCCGCCACTGCCCATAAGTCAGAATGAGAAGAAAACACAAAGCCTTTTCTAACACGTTGTTTTCTTTCTGAAAGTTCTAAGAGTGGTTGATCATCCAATTTAAACTTGGTCTTTTGAGTCATATTTTGATTCTATAAAACAGCATGACAGTGTACGAGAACTGTGTGTTGATCAGCCCAGTGTCACAGCAGTTTTATGACCTCGGCTAGAAAGTAGTAGGTATAAAAGTCTTCAATTCAATTCAGTTCAATTCACATTTATTTGTATAGCGCTTTTCACGAAGCACATCGTTGCAAAGCAGCTTCACAGAAAATGAAAGTTTCTACATTACAATTAAGAGTAGTTTATCAGTGGTGACTATGTCAAGGTGATATTTATATGGCAGAAATGTCTAACTTTCTTTCACCATGTAACATTGCTTGAATGGACCTTTATATCATAAGGTTGTGTGGAAAATAGTGGAAGTTTTGAGAACTTCAGATTACACAGACAACCACCAGTTGACCTCGTTGATATGTATAATAAATAAGAGCAACTTTTATTTTTTCATTCTTGTTTTTGATGCACTGTAAAATTATTTTTCATAGCTGTAAATAAAACAAAGATCACTGGAGTACGTTTTGCAAAAAAGTTTCAGTCTAATTACTTTAATTCAGTGTGTTACTTGCAGTTTCTTTGTAATTATTTGTGAAATTTGCTAGCAGTTTCTGAGTGAAAATTTTTTCGAAGTATTTTTTTTTTCTTTTGACAAAGTACTGTTTTAGATTGTAATGGCTTCAAATTTAATGTCTCTAATTTAGAATAGTGATTTTTAAGTGTGTTGACATGTTAATTTCCAGCATTTTTCTATTTAGGGCTTGTCAGCCACCCAGGCTTATAAAATTGTTATATTCCTTGTACTTTTTTCTATGAAAAATTCATTACAGCATTATCAGTATTTGAAAATTTTAATTTAAACAGTCAATTTTAGTTGTTTATGCTTACAGAACATCTACACAAGAACTGTGTTGTTTTGAAAACAGCCTGCTCTAGGATGCACACATGGATGCTTCAGAGCCTTAATTACATGTATGCATGTTTTGTGCCTGTCATTTTAGAGATAAAGCAAGATGAGAAACAAGCAACTTAAAAAAAATAATAAGTAATTTCTTTCTCAGAAGGCAGGAGTGCACACTTTATATGTTCTCCCACACCATTGGCTTTTGCACACTGTGAGGGTTGTCTTTGAGACATCATCAGCATGGGACTAGCACCATCCAGAATGCCAATCTTCCCCTCCGCTCGGTGATCATTGGGTTTTCGGGTGGCTAACACAATGAGAGAGTGCTGGTCAGTGTGGAGCTGATGCAAAGTCTTAGAACTCTGCTCTATAAGGAACAGGAACTTAAATGATCGGTTTGCCGGTTCCCAAGGAACATGCTGTGTCTGAACGAAAGACCTCCACTAGGCCTGATGGTGACCACTTAATGCCAGTCCAATTTCTAATTCTGTAAAGCCTTAAGTCCCCACAGAGCCTCACTTTCAAAAAAATCAAACCTGCTGTGTGGCTGATACAGATTTCCAGGCCCTCGGCATGATACATCACTGTGTCTATTGTGATCAGCATGTTTTTCCCGTGTCAATTAGCTTCTGGGAAGCTTTCCTAGCAGACTCCCCATGAGGAGGCATGCCGAAGGACTAGTGCAAAACCTTGCCTCTCCTATTTCTTTCTTTTTTCCTTCTTCCTTATCTTCTCCTTCCATACTTTCTCCATTCTTTCTGTACAGTAACTGCCTAGCTTGTGCTTCATCCTTTCTATCTATCTATCGATCTATCCATCTACCCATCTATTCATCTACACTCTAAAAAATGCTGGGTTAACTATAACCCAGTGCTGGGTTAAAAAGGGACAAACCCAGCTATTGGGTTGTTTTGAACCCAACCGCTAGGTCAAAACAACATACACGGATAATATTCTGAATGAATGAGCGAACAAAAATTTTACAATTATCCCTTCCTTATTCTTTTTTCTGGATTGGCTCTGTTTGACCATACATCCCTATTTTTAATAGGTCTTATTATCTGTTTCTTCCTAGTTTTTTTAATAGATTTGAAATTCTTATCTTAATTCATTTTTGTCTGTTCTACAGCTGAACCCTTTATCTTGTCACGATTTGTGTCGCCCTGCAGAACTGAAGCATGAGATTCTGGTGTGGAGGCAGACAGCCCATCGCATTAACCCTGCCAGCCGAGAGGAGACTGCCGTCAAGTGTCTTCTCATGCAGAAGGTGCTCAATCTGGAAAGCCTCCTGTGCAAGAAGCTCAAGACCTTCCAGAGGTGCCACACTCATGCTCAAGCCATTCTTTTCTTTGTCTGTCTGGGTAAAATACAAGCAGAAATCAGCAGTGTTTGAAATCATGGATGTATGTTGAATATTGAAAAGTGTATTTTTGTGCTTTGTTCTTGTTTTATCTGTCTACACCGTGCATGGTGTTTGAAATCATGGATGTATGTTGAATATTGAAAAGTGTATTTTTGTGCTTTGTTCTTGTTTTATTTTACTATTTTGATATTGCATGTAATATGAGTGTCTTTCTTGGTATGAGGTCACTTGAAAACACCCTATTAGGGCCAAAATATATCCATTCCCACTGCATGACACCTGTTGTGTCTGACGGTAGCACATACCCAGAAGCCCAGGATGATAAATGAGCAATAATTAACCTGTAGAAAAGTAGGTAATTGTTCTCAATTGTGTCGGCTCTCTAAAGCTCTTGTAGAGAGCTGACATTTTAATCATGCAGAATAATTTTGTTCTCAACAGTAGCCTGCTTTTTTTTGGTATTATTATAAATGCTTCTTTTAACTAAAGAAATTCGATTAGTTATGCTTGTGGTTTTGTGGATCTTGTGGTTTGCTTTGATGACAGATAGAATAATCACAGAAGCCATTTACAGCCTCACATGCTGAGTAGAAAAGGTTTGGGGTGACCACATGAAATCACCACTCCTACTCATTTGCAGGTGTCCATGCTGGCTGAAAGGATGTATTAACACACTTCATTCGGTTTTATTCCTTTATTTTCACAGGCAGATATCTCAGGAAGACAAAAACTGGGAACACAATATTCAAGAGCTGCAGAAAAAGGTAAAACAAAGCTGCATAAGGATGACTCTGGTTGGTTGATTATATTTTGGCTTCAGGTCCCTGATAGTATTATTATAATTATTATTATTATTATTTAATAATAAACAATTTAATTATTAATTTTTTTAAATAATGAATGAATGAATGAATTGATATGGTCAATTTAATAAATTTATTTATTTGCCTTTTTTTCCTCCGTTGTACAAAAATAAACTAAATTGTTAAATATCACATAATGTTACGATGAGCTGACACTAAATAGAAAAGGTGACAATTTTGTAATTGTATAAACAGCAAAAGTATTTACGTTTACATTTATTTATTTACCAGATGGTTTTATCCAAAGTGACTTACAAATGAGGCAGTGTTTATAGTTTGGTTTCTAAAAATAAATTGAAATTTCATGGTTTTATTCACTTGGCAGACAATAATTCACTACAAAATTCACATTGTGGTTGGCACACACCATATTTAGCCTTGTTGCAGTTGAATCTGCATGTAATATACTCTGGCTTGTGTTTTTGATAAAATATAATTTATTGGAGATTAATTGGACGCATGACCTTTGACATCAACAAACAAAAGATATGTTTCTCCTACCTTGTAAATGTTAACCTGTAAAGTTAACTATACTGTGTGTACTGTTATACGATTAACATTGTAATATTTGCAATTTTGCATAATTGTTTTCACTGCTATAAGTGTTCCTATAAGAATAGACCTGCGGATTGCAACTCATTATTATTTGTTAATAATAATAATTATAAATAATGATTTAATTATAAATAAATAATATATTAATATAATAATTAATTAATTGATATGGTCACAAAAATACAACAAAATTGTTATCACATAATATTACTATGAGCTGATGCTAAATAGAAAAATTGACAATTTTGTAATTGTATAAACAGCAGAAGTGTTAAGGTTTACGTTTATTCATTTAGCAGATCATTTTTTTATCCAAAATGACATATAGTGATAATAGTTTGGAATTTAAAAAAAAAAATTTAAATATAGTGATTATAGTTTGGTTTCTAAATATCAATTGAACAGTAACACTGTTTAGAGGGCATAATATGCATTTGCCATGTTTCTTTCTGTCCTGCATCTGAACATGTCTTTCATGGACTTTTACAGCACAGAATAACTGATAAAATCCTCCTGGTCAAGTGTCTGACTGTCCTTGGGGTGGTCATCTTTATGTTCTTCCTGAACTCCTTTGTTCCTGCCATACATCTGGATCTGGGTAAGCAAGAGACAAACATTTGTGTTAAACACAAATAATCAGGATTCATCTGTTTCTATTGCTGAACTGGCCCTGCTGTTTACATGCCTCACTGTATAATTATGAGGGCTTGTTTCCTCTCTGTTTGAGCAGAGGAAATGGAATCACGAGTATATCTCGCTATTTTTGAAATGATCAAAAATGTGCCAATTCCTCGACCACGGAGCAAACATTTCATTTTATATGCATTCTATTAGGGTTCGTAGAATAAAATTAGAGAAACAAATGCTATTCTAGTAAAGCTGGCCAATTTCTCCCTTGATCTAATTGGTGTGTGTATGAACCTGTCAATGTATTGATGTCGTAATTGTTTGCAGCTGGGCTTTAAATGCAGAAAAAGACACAAATGCAAAACCACAACAATGGAGTAGCGTGAGATTAAATAACACTGCTAGTATTACTCACCCCAAAATTAGTCTTTTGTTTCTGTTTAGGCTTCCTTTTTGTTCTAGCTTTGTCGAACTGGTTTATGGACGTCTTTATTATACGGCGAATGAGAAGTCAATTACAGATGGAAATGAGATCGAGAACTTCACCAAACACATTAGTGAGAACGAGTTGGTCAATCAGAGAAGGCCAGCCACACAGCTCACTTACTGTAGGTTGTTGTGTTGTTTGGGTCTGATTGTGTATTGATAATCAGTTCTCATTTGTGGACAGGTTTATCTTGTGGAAAGATGACACATGAATATTAGTTTCTCTTCATTCATACAAAATCATGTATTTTTTCCTTTCCACAGCTGTGTACATAATTAATCGGCAATGATCGACAAAATAATCACTGTACATTACCATTTTGAAAAAACAGTGTGGTTCTGCTTTCAAATTTCTTTTCAGTGCATCGTTCTGATCAAAGCCAGGGTCGGACAGCATGGGCTGCAAATGACTGTCATTAGACTTTCATTAGGTTGACACCATCATCACCACTCCATTTGACCTTTGATATTGATTATTTAATCATGGCCGAGGATACAGTGCGCCTGCTGGAGGGCAATGAAGCACACAGGAACTGACTTACTGGTGAACAATTTAGCACATTTATGTGAACAATGCTAGCAGTAACAGTGCATCTGGGAGTTTTCTTGATTTTTAGGTCACTGAAAAGCTGTTAGAAGAAAAAAAATAGGCTCTGAAAGGTCATTTCTATAGGTCCATCAAAACATTTCACATATAGGTCATAATGGAATTTCAAGGAAATATCAATAATTTTCTCAGTGTGAGACTTGACTCTAAAAGTAAAGATATTTTCATGCTTAAAAAATCCAAAGAGCTCATGGAAAACAACAACCAACATTTGATTTTAGAAACTTGTGGAATTAATTTTTTTATGTAGTTAAAATTCAACAGTTTTTCTTGAAGTTGCTGATTGATTTGGTAGTTTTCCCGAAATATATTGACACCTAGTGGCATAGATACAGATTTAGAATAAAGCAAAAATGTTCATTAAGCATTATAAAAATACCCTATTCGAATAGAAAGCCACGATTAATTTATTCCACAAGTGAAAGTGTTTGGTAAAAGGAATTTTTGAGTGAAAACGATTAGTATCTGGCTGGTCATGTGATCTCAACATTTCAACCCACATGATGCAATGCTCCATGTACTGTAAATTAAGCAGCCTTATTATCTTTATTATTATGGTTATGTCTTTGAGTCATGAGTCTTTATCTCATGTGAATGTATGTTTTAAACCATTATCTTTTAAAGTCCCCCTGTAGTCAAATATTTTATCCCTTAAAACGTATCTTTGATCATCAAAATTACATATTTAAATGTTTTTTCTTGTGAAAATAATTTTCTCATGCCTTAAAATAGCTTGAATGTAACTCAACACCCTTGCCTCATTTACTATACGCTGCTCTATGAACAGTGTTGGGGGTAACTCATTACAAGTAACGCGAGTTACGTAATCAGATTACTTTTTTCAAGTAACTAGTCAAGTAACACATTACTTTTTAATTTACAAGAGAATATCTGAGTTAATTTTCAAATAAGTAACGCAAGTTACTTTTTTTTTCAAATTTATTGACTGACAGCTCTCCTGTCCCCATGTTGAGAGAAATCAGAAGATGTTACTGTAGTTCTAAAATAAATATGAATATGCATTCATATGCATCTCACTCATGCATTCTAATGCAACTCAGAATATGCAATAATTAAATGTTAAACAACACAAATATCCTTTATGTATTTAATCCCATTCTATTAACCAATGTCTTTGCTTCTGACCTTCGATGATCCAGTTCAACCATAATAATAAGCACAAATTACTCTAGACAAACATTCGTGTCTTTTTTTATAACAAGTGTGTTGAAATTTCTTCTTCTGCATTCTACTGTACGGACTTAAATTTACTTTCCCTTCAGCCTGAGGCTTATTCATTTCACTTTTGGTGTGAAAAGGCTTTTATATTTGCCAAAAATATAACTTTTTTATTTTAAAAACAAACAAGCAAGCCTGGTCCAGATTTAAAAAGTAACGCAAAAGTAACGTAATGCATTACTTTCCATAAAAAGTATCTAAGTAACGTAATTAGTTACTTTTTTATGGAGTAACGCAATATTGTAATGCATTACTTTTAAAAGTAACTTTACCCAACTGTCTATGAATATGCAAATTAGTCCCACCTCCACTCACTCACACCAGCCAGCCCCTCCTGATCCACTGAACTGTAGTAAACGCAAAACAATGGCATACACGGATAATGACTGATAAAACTATGTTTTTACTAGCGGACAACTACAGTGAATACTGTAACATTAATTAAAGTTACTTACTTGACGATGTTGTGTCCTAAAATGCCTTGAAGGCTCGAATGCAGCCGTTTGTGATTCTTAATTCGCGACCGCGAGCATACGCGTGTGAAGTGCAGGCGCCGATGCGGGAGAGGTGGGTCTGACTCCGGGCTACTTTTACACTGGTGCCACGGGTTATAATGCAAGTTAGCGGTTCTAAATTCACATTAAACCACAGCTTCATGGGTTTTTTGCTCTAATTTATTTTTGGTTTTGTGCTGCTATTGGTATATTTTGCATGCTAGTGATAGGAATCGATCCCTTGACGTGATTGGATTGGATTGACGTAGCAAACCGAGGGCTGTTTCAAACCGCATTTCTGGGACTGCCTTTGGGAAACTACAGTTTTAAAGGGGTCATAGGATGCTACATGCACTTTTACAAGTTGTTTGAACTGAAATGTGTGTTGGCTGTGTGTGTACACAACCACCCTAAAATGAAAAAAATCCACACAGTGTTTTTTGTTAATCTACTAAAATCTTTACCCCTTTCTCAAATCAAGCCGATCTCAGATGCTGTGTGATGTCACAAAAACAGGCCCCTCCCACAATAGTTTGATTGACCGTAGCGTTTTAGCACAGACTGGACTGGCGTCTTACCTTAGACCCGCCCTGAGTGAGCTGTCATCAGTCTGCCATTGTTTCACCGCCGGAGCAGATGTAGACAAGAAGGTCTCCTAAGCGATTGAGGTGTTCTGTTGTTGGATGTAATAATGAACATAGCAGTCGTCATTTACTCCCGACATCTGAGCCGCTGAACTCGCAGTGGAATGCGTCTATGTTCACGCGAATTATTCGTGATCCAGCTTCACCTACAGAAGAAGTGAGTATAAGGTTTTTTTAAAGAATCTTTGCAAATTGCCTTTCCTTATAATGTGCTAATTAGCAAGTTTCACGATGAATGCGACTAAAGTAAACAGCCTCTCTGAGAGCAGCTCGGAAGAGAGGGGCGGGGTCAGCAGAGCTCATTAACATTTAAAGGAAAACGCTACAAAACTGCGTGCTCTGAAAAGAGCTGTTTTTGACAGGGTAAAAAAGGTGTTTTTTACACTACCATTGAGAAATTTTAACCAAACTATGTTACAGACTTTTCATTAAGACCCTAAAGAATCATATCAACTTGTGGAAAATGGGCATCCGATGACCCTTTTAAGGAGAAAATACTCAGCAATGGTGTTGATTAATAGATTGGCACATGTTTTGTCTAAAAGCATATTACAAACACCACATAGACAAATAAACAACATAAAAAAAATGCTGCTGCAGAATGATAAGGTGCTTGTGGAAACACATTTGCTTTAAAATTAAGAACATGATGAGGTGGTGTTTGTGTCTCACTCAATGGGCCAGAATGCCTGTGTTGTTTTGGGTATGATGAATGAACCTCCCAGGCTGAAGGCCCCCAGTTCCTCCTCCATCTTCCGTTGGATGCCGTGGGGAAACACTGAAGCGAAAAGCAAATGAAAAGTTACTTTTTTGGACTTGTGTTGTGACAAAACTGTCCCAGTGCCAGTGTGGAAGATGTCTGGGATTCTTTTCACACCATGCATGGACTACAGTGCTAGAGTTTGTGTATTTGTGTTATCCAAATCAGTGAATATGCTTCACTTCTAAAGAAAAGATGCACAGTATATATAATATACAGTATATATTATATGTAATACTAGTTTACTTATTGAGGTGGCTGACTGTGAGGAATATTTAAGGTATCCAAGTGACGTGAAAGTTGTTAACCCCCATGTTTTGTTGGACCCAGAAGCCCTTTTATTATCTCAAAAAACATGCTTATAATTTAAGTATCAAACTGATACTTCTTGACTTTTTCTAATCTTATGAGAACCAAAACAAACTTTTTAACCACAGTTTTAAAGAGATTAAAGCTTCATTATTTTCCTTCTCCTGGGTTTTCATTAGATCAGAGCATATTCAAAGACTCTGAAGGGAAAACAGGAGCTTAATTTTGGAAATAAATTATAATTTTTGTAATTATGTTTGCATATACATCTTTGGGGTATCAACCAAAAAAAGAGGGGTATAACAGATATTTGAATTACGCTTGTCACTTACATTTTTACAATTCGATTTCAACTTTGTTTGTTGCAGTTTCGTCTATAAATTTCCACCAACTCCATTCTGATTTATTATTAGTAATTATTATTACTGGTATATTCTTTTTTTTAATTAATAGACTTCCTGTTACATAACTTTGTCTTCTATCATCTGGCTATTCTGAACACCATTGCCTTTTACCTCATTTACCTTGTTCTTTACCTTGTTTAAACCAGTTTTGTTTAAACTTTGTTAATGAATTCTCCTCCACAATTACAGTACATCTGTGTCCTCTGTGCAGCTGGTCTCTTATCTGCCTTCTTCTGTTCTTTCTCTTCCTGTCTTTGGCTCTTCCTCTGTTCGTCCTTCTCATCCCTTATTAAATGATTTCCCACGGGCAGTCTTCAGCACTCACCTGTTTAATCAAATTTTGCTAGAATTGGAAGCATACTGTCGCCCTCTCTGCTATGATTTATAGCGTATCGGTTTGTTGCAGCATTTACTGACCAGTGTTGGTCATAATCCCAAAAGTATGTGTGCATACATGTGTAGTGTTTTGTGCTAAATTTGAGAAGCTTGAATAGTAACTGTTTGACCATTGTCCAGCTTGTTTTAATAGAGGCACTTCACACACTGGCGTTGCTGGCTAAAGTCCAAAGCCTCTGGCTGGCTAACAGGAAATAGCCTGCTGAAAGTGGGGTCTTTAGATAATTGCTCAGTAATTTGTTATCCTTCTTTGAGTGGGATAGATTTTTGACATTTATGACTATTTCTGTTGTCAAAATGGTGGATTTTTCATGAATTTGAAGTGTATGCGGGCTAATATGAAACTGAAAAACAAGTCTTTTCCCAACTATTCCTTCATTTTTGAAGAAAAGTTCTCGCTAACAATCAATCTTTCTGGGCAACGTTTTATGGATGACCCTACTTTTCTGGGGACCCAAGCACTGGTTATGGCAAATGATTTTGTTTGAGGACCCAGATTTGACTAATTTCATTTGCAAGAATGTGGCCGTTTTTAAGTTGGAACATTCTTTTGCTAGCTTTTACCATGTGACTGATGAAATTGTGCCAACAAATCAACAAAGGAGAATTTTTTTACTCTATAAAATTAGTAAGTTTATTGTTTGTATTTAGCATTTATTCCCCAGATCTGCGACCCATTTTCCTTTTAGGATTGTGACACACCATTTCCACTGAACACCATGACAGGATCTGGTTCCTGATTGTCCAGAGGAAGGCCCTGTCTTATTATATGAAAAATAAATTTAATTTCGGCCCCAAAGCTTTTATAGTGTGTGGTGTACATGACCGTCTGCTCAACACATGCTGCTTCAAAGACTGAACTCACTACTTGTTCCTGCTTTTAACTCAAGGCCAACACACACTCATTTACGCTATACCAAACGAACATCATCCACTCTTCCTTTCCCTCTCATATTTGTTTTCTGAGTACACAGAGGATTAATTAATATTCAATAGAAAGATTAATAATGCACAACAAATAAATGCAAAATAACAAGAAATTAAATTTTGGGAAATGTTTTGGGAAATTATGACACAAACAGTATTATTTTCAGGAAACATTTTATCTGATAGCTACGACGAATGTCCCCTTAATGGTGCGCCAGTAAAACACAACCTAGAGAAGATAATCCCCTACCTGCACTTATGTTCGTTTCAAGCTCTAATTTTACTGCTTGTAAATGTTTCTCCCAGTGTGTAAGCATACATTAACTGGGCTAATGGCTCCTGTTCGTTTGTAGACATTTGCAGTCTCTTTTTTTTTTTTTTTTTTTTTTTTTAAACTTTCAAAATCTTACCCCAAACGTTCTAAATTTCAGTTGCATGTAATACACAGGTCCAGAATAAAGCTTGTTTTTCTGTGGCTATTATAGTAAAGGTCAAAGGCTGAGATGTGACGCATTAGTTGTGCACGGTCCTGATGTCTAAATGGCACACTCATTATGATGGACTTCTACCACCGCATGTGATGGTGTGCTATACCACTGGTCCGCATCCTGCTGTATTATCCATCTCACTTTAGTGACTCGTACATTTTGTCCCTGACATGCTGCGTATGTTTTTAATCCCAGAGGCTTCTGGGAAACAGTACGTCATCACTTAATCAGTGGTAAAATTTCTGGCAGTATTTCATGACAGCATGCACAATGTTCAGACCAGCTAATGTCCTTTTATATTTCACCTCCATTCTTGATAGATATTTTGGACTGAGTGGATTAAAATAAACTGTGGCACAGGTTGACTTTTATTTTGCTTATATTGTACAGTGACAGGGAATGTTCACATAAAAATGAAGATTCAGCCACCATTTACTTACCCTCATGTTGTTTCAAACTTGTAAGTTTTTCTTTATTCTGTGGAACACAAAAATATATTTCTAAAATGTCTATCTCATATAAATGCTGTTCTTTTGAATTTTCTGTTTATCAAATAATCCAGAAAAAAAAGTATCACCCTTTTCCCACAAAACTATTAAGCAGCACTATTGTTTTCAACATTGATAATAATTAGAAATGTTTCCTGAGCAGCAAATTGGTATATTAGAATGATTTCTGAAGGACCATGAGACACTGAAGACTAAGTAATGGTGGCTGAAAATTAATCTTTTCCATGACAGGAATAAATAACATTTAAAAATATGTTTGAAAACAGTTATTTAAAATCATAATAATATTTCATAATATTACTGTTTTTATTGTGGTTCTGATCAAATAAATGCACCCTTGGTGAGCATAAGAGACTTCTCAAACATATAAAAAAAAGCATATAGAATTAATTAATATGATATCCTCTCTCAGGGAAACCAGCACTTTTATGTTCTGGTTATGTTGTATTTGTGATTCCCATCATTTATTTAGGCTGAGATACTTAGATCAGTGTCGGACACATCACAGAAGCCTTTAATGAAGGCTTTATTTGAAAACAGTTATTTAAAATCATAATAATATTTCATAATATTACTTTTTATTGTGGTTCTGATCAAATAAATGCACCCTTGGTGAGCATAAGAGACTTCTCAAACATATAAAAAAAAGCATATAGAATTAATTAATATGATATCCTCTCTCAGGGAAACCAGCACTTTTATGTTCTGGTTATGTTGTATTTGCGATTCCCATCATTTATTTAGGCTGAGATACTTAGATCAGTGTCGGACACATCACAGAAGCCTTTAATGAAGGCTTTCCAGTAACTGGCTTATTATTCTTATGCCCTGACAGCCTGTAGTCCATTGTGGGGTTGCAAACTACCTGTGGTGTATGTATATTGATGTGCAGAGCGATTATTAGTCCGTTTGAGCAGTGGCTGGACTGTGTTTCTAATTGAATGCCGCTGTTTGGTCTCTCTCCCGCTGAATGTTTTTTGTGTGTGAGTGGAATACCAGATTTAGGAACACTGTGGTCGGCTGATGAGAAAGTGTTTGTGGTCATGGGAAGGCAAGATAGATAGAGACATAACATATGATTGATGCACTGCATTAACACCAGTCTGCTGTTTTCCAGGATTCCATTATCTTAAAACCTTTACGTGCAACAACAGGAAATAAAATGTTTGTGTGAACAGTGTTCTTGGTTCTTTTCCAGTGATCTCGGCTTGATGTACTGTTTTGTCCCTCAGGTTGGATCGCTATCTTGGGGGCTCTGTGGTTACTGGTGCTGGCCGACATTCAGGACTTCGAGATCATACTTCACAGAGTGGAATGGGCCACCCTGTTGTTCTTTGCTGCTCTGTTTGTGCTTATGGAGGTATGGTAATGCTCAAAAAATGCCCACATATCCCAATGTTCTGTCATCTATTACATCGTAGTAATGGCTAGTCATTGTTTACCAAGATCAGTTTAGCTGGTCACCGGCCCATGTTGTTTTGGATGTTAGTTCGGAGCCTGTCATGCCTCTAAAGTGCCCCCTAAAATTTATTTTTTTAAATGCAACCAAAAAATGCAATAATAAAATAAACATTAAAGGGGTCATATGATGCTATTTAAATTTTTCCTTTCTTTTTGGAATGTTACAAGCTCTTGGTGCATAAAGAAGATCTGTAAAGTTGCAAAGACTAAAGTCTCAAATCCAAAGACATATTCTTTATAAAAGTTAAGAGTCTACCACGCTTACCTAAAACGGCTCATTCTAACACGCCCCCACATGTCTACGTCACGATGTGGGAAGATTTGCATAACGCCGCCCAAATGTTCACGCAAAGAAAAAATGCGTAACTTTTATTCTCGCTGTAGTATTGTTGTTGCCGCCATGTCGTGAAGGTGTTGTGTGTGTTTCGTTGTGAAAGTGAAACTACTTTGTTGGGCCTTCCAAAAGAGGATCCGTGCTGGTCGCTGAGGAAATACATCAACTT